CGAAGGCCAAGCTTAGCTTAATTTATAAAACAGTATTCATCCTTGCGGGTCAAAATTAAATGACTGCAGCCTTGAGTGCAATGGGTATTGCGGCAAATTGAAGTGAAAATAGAATATAGAACAAAATGCTGGACATTGATCTATAACGTTAAAAGGACGATGTCATCGCTGTTTAGAGAAATCGTGTAAGCGTTAAAATCCTGACGTTTATAGAAGTTTATATCCCAATATTTAGTTTGATCGACTTCTAAGCCTCGATTGAGATGAAGAGATTCTTTCTTTAAATGCTTCAATCCACGGCCATAGGTTATGCAAAACGCCCTTTTCAGATGCAAAATAAGATGCTTTTCTTTGTCTACCATTTGAACAAGCTGTATTTTTGTAGCGAAAGATAAAGTTTTTATACACTTTGACTAAAGCATATTGTTCTTCATGTTGTGTTCGTTCATAATTTGCATAAGCATTATTCAATGCATCAGCGCTTTGAAAATGCTATAAATTAAAATACGCACCCATCCAATCTTATGTTTTTCTGGCCTAACTGGATGGACAAATAGGATATTTTTTTAAAATGACTCAGCAAGCACAGACCATCCAAGGCTCAATTGTCGCAATCGTCACCCCTATGTTTGAAGATGGCAGCGTAGATTGGAAGGGTCTAGAGAAGCTCGTTGAGTGGCACATCGCACAAGGCACAAATAGCATTGTTGCTGTCGGTACAACGGGTGAAGCGTCTACTCTAAGCATGAAAGAGCATACACAAGTGATTAAAGAAATCATTCGTGTCGCGAACAAACGCATCCCTATTATTGCGGGTACTGGCGCGAATTCAACGCGTGAAGCCATCGAGTTGACTAAAGAAGCCAAAGAACTCGGTGCAGATGCTGCTCTTCTGGTTACCCCTTATTATAATAAACCGACCCAAGAAGGCCTATATCAGCACTATAAAGCTATTGCTGAAGCTGTTGATCTTCCTCAAATTCTGTATAACGTACCTGGTCGTACGGGTGTCGATATGGCGAATGAAACGGTCATTCGTTTGGCCGATATTCCACAAATTGTGGGCATCAAAGATGCCACAGGTGATGTCCCTCGTGGTCAAGCCCTGCTCGAAGGCCTTGCTGGCAAAGCGATGACCGTCTATTCAGGTGATGATGCAACAGCTTATCAACTGATTCTGTCGGGAGCAAAAGGCAATATTTCTGTGACTGCAAACGTTGCACCCAAAGAAATGAGCGATGTTTGCGCGGCAGCACTGGCAGGCGAAGCTGAAAAAGCTGAAAACCTAAATACCCAAGTTGCAAATTTACACGAAATTCTATTTTGCGAATCAAACCCAATTCCTGTGAAATGGGCACTTCATGAAATGGAGTTAATCGAAACGGGTATTCGTTTACCATTAACACCACTTGCAGAACAATATCGCACACCGCTCCGTGAAGCACTCACAACGGCGGGTGTCATTAAATAAAGAGCACATCAATATGCAATTACGTTTAGGTCTTACTCTCGCACTTTCAGTCGTCAGTTTAGCGGGTTGTAGTTCTCTTGCAGTCAATAACGGTAGTTTGGACTATAAAGAAACAGCAAGCTTGGAACCTCTTAAATACCCTGAAGGCTCAATGGTTCGACCTGCAACGCCGTTGTATCCAGCTCCAACGGTTGAAGCACTCGCTCTTGAACATGCACCTGTACTTGAAAACAAGCGCGGAAACCGTTTTGCAATGCCGCGCCCTCAAGCTGCTCAAGTCATGTCGAATGCAGAATCAACGGAAACAGTTGATACAGCTGTGAGTCGCCCTCAATTGATTATTGACGGAAATAAGAATCCGCTGCTCAAAATTGAGGGAAATTCTGCTACAATTTGGCAATATACGCTTGCCACCCTCAGCAGCCTCAACCATCAAATTGTTGGTCAAAGCAAAAATGGTTATGAAGCAACCATTAAAATCGATCAACAGGTCTATGTGTTAAGACTGACCGCGGTCGGCAGCAGCAACAACCTCGCTGTGTTCAATGCCGATAACAGTTTTGCAGCGCCTGAAAAAGCCACAGAATTGTTAACCCAGATTTACCAAAATTGGCCAGCCTAGTCGTACTAGGCATTTTTTTTTGAAAAAGGTTCCCTCATGTTAAAACAAACCTTGCTCTATACTGGTAAAGCGAAATCTGTCTATGAAACAGACAGTGCAGACCACCTGATTTTAGTCTTTCGTGATGATGCTTCGGCATTCAATGGTGAAAAGATCGAACAACTAGATCGTAAAGGTAAGGTGAACAACCGTTTTAACGCCTTTATCATGGATAAATTGGCTGCGGCTGGCATTGAGACTCACTTTGAAAAACTTCTTTCTCCAACAGAAGTTCTAGTGAAAAAACTCAGCATGATCCCTGTTGAATGTGTAATTCGTAATTATGCAGCAGGTTCTTTATGCCGTCGCTTAGGTGTAGAAGAAGGCAAGGAATTAACACCGCCGACTTTTGAATTATTCTTCAAAGATGATGCGCTTGG